CAGCCCTCCTTCTGCTTGACTGACTGTCACCCTGAGACTCCCCCTGCCACAAGGCCAACTATGTGGATGCTTTATCCCACCTCCCACCTCCCATGTCCTCTTTCATCTTCCCTGGATCTTCCCTAGCATAGTGTGTGTCCTGGTGATCACCATGGGAAAAGTGAGTGTTGAATGCATGTGTCAAGGGAAGGGAAATAAATGGTCAGGACCCATGGATCCCACACACCTGCCATCCCTGGGCACTAATGTGTGTGTAGGTTGCTAGTGTAGCTTTGCAGCCATGGTAACTAGGAACTCAGACTGACCAGTCATGGCTGCCACAAAGTCTAATAAAACCAAGTGCCCTGTAAATAGAGGCCTAAGCCCTGAATGAAAGGAGGAAGGACAGTGAGACAGATCCTCTCCTCTCCCACGCCCCCACTTGGAGTGTACTATATAACAGGTGCTGTTACCCAGGACCAGACACAGGGAGAGGGGGGCCAGGGTGGAATGGTCTAGAGCGCCCCTTGCCCTGTGCAGTGGGGCTGTCCCAGGAGTGTGGTGGTGGCCTGAGAGACATACCCCAGTCAGTGGTCCAGGTTTGCACTTCGCTCCACTGACTCCAGATCCCATAGTAGTAGGGGAGGGGCTTGACCCTCACCCTGGCCCAGTATGTGGTGGAGGGCTGCAGTTGTGGCAGGGCCATGCTATGGGCACGATCTAGGATCTCTGTCTTGCTGTCCTGCAGAGGCAGATGTGTTGAAGTTCTGGCTCCGTCCAGGACCCCAGGACAGAGCCTCCTGTGACCCACCACTGTGGTGGCCCCAGGTGCCACCTCTTCCAGCGCCAACAGCTGCACCCAGGCTCAAGCCCAGACTCTCTCTACCTCCCAGATTGTCTGGTGTGCTGCCTTGCCCTAAATTCTGTCTGGTGCAGGAGCGTCATCCTGGTTTCCTGGGTCCCACGCCATGAGATCCGGGACGGTGGTGTCAGGGTTAACCTTCTCCTGACTCTGCTGCCCCACTCTCAGGCTTCAGTACCCCATTTCCTCTCTGACGTTAGGATCCTGGTCACATAGTCCTGCGCTGGGCCCTGTCGAGTCTCACTCTGCATCTAGGTGCAAGGCCTCTGCATATGGGGTGAGTGCTGGGCAGGACCTGCCCTGAACAGCTACACCATTGTCTTAGATCTAGTTCCGGTTTGAAATACAACCAGATCTGGGTGATCATTGAACCTCATTCCAGGTATGTACCGAGTCCCACCTAGTCTCTACCTGTCCAGCTATTAGTCAGTCAGCTTCTTTATTAACCCAGTCACAATGGCATATATTCACACAGTCTAAAAGAATATATCACACAGGTTCCTCTGCTACCCACTTTGTCTGTTTTCCATCAGCTCAAGGGCAGCATTGGTCAGAGGACCATGTCATCTCACTTCTCTGAGCCTGAGTCCGCCATCAAGAAAAGTGACTCTCAGCTGTTGACCAAGAGCGTCCTAAGGCACAGGAGCCAGGTTCCTGGAAATAGAACTCCCTTTGGTCCCTACCTTTCCCCTGGGTGCTGGACCTCACCTCCCAGTTGTCTGGGTTATCTGTGTACTGGATTTGGAATTTGTGCTCGATGTGAGGGTAGGACATTTTCTTAGTTTCCCAACGCAGGTTGTAGCTGTCTTCGTCCTTGGTCACGTTGAGGGTGGGAGGGTGCATCTGGACTGGAGGGAGGATAATTTCAGGGAATGTCATGGTGTCCTTCCTCCAGTAGAATTTCCCCCATTATCCCAACTTGTTCCAGGTGCCCTCCTCTCTGGAGCTCTCTCTCTAGTCCCCAGTCATGGTGACGCCTTTGAACTCTGTGGTGTCTTGGAATGAGAATGCCCCCCTCCCGTGCATAGGCTCATATGTTTGAATACTTGGTCCCCAGTTGGTGGAACTGTTTGAGAAGGATCAGCAGGTGTGGCCTTGTTGGAGGAGGTGTGTCCCTGGGGGTGGGCTTTGAGTTGAACTCTGCCTCTGGCTTGTGATTCAAGATGTGGGCCTGGGGGTGCACACCTTTAGTTCCAGCACTTGAAAGGCAGCGACAGGGAGATCTCTGTGAGTTTTGAGGCATCCTAGTCTACAAAGCAAGGTCCATGTTTGCTAAGGCTACACAGAGAAACCCTGTCTTGAAAAACCAAACAATAAACAAAAGCAACAATAGATGTGTTCCAGTTGCATTCTGGCCCTGTGCCTGCTCCCTATGTTCTGCATCATGAACTCTGACCTCTGAAACCATAATCTCAAAGTAAACTCTCCCTTCTGTAAATGACCTTCATTATGATGTCTTCTCACAACAATAAAAAACATGACTAAGACTAACACCCTGCATTACCGAATCACAGTGTCCCTAGCTTGTCCCTGGGGCAGCAGCTGAGGTGAGCCTCGGTGGTGAGGTGGTCCATAGCTTAGTGCCTCCTCTAGTGTAGGATACAGGGGGGAGGGGGGGGAGCAGTAACTCCTCCCCTAGGCATATGGACTGTTCCAGGCCTGGGTAACAGGCACACTTTGTGGGAACGCCCTTGCTCTGCTCTCCCCTTTCCCCTGTGAGGTGCTCTAACTTCGCCATTTTTCATGGGGAAACTGAGTCCCAGAGCATATACAGATAACACCTGAGCAGTAGAGAGCTTATGTCTTCACAAGACTGTGTCAGCCACTCCTCTCCAGTGCTTCAGGGACCCTGGGAGTCGCCTGAAGCCAGGATGGGCTAGGAAGTCCTTGCTAGTCTAAAAGCTCCCCACATCCAACCCACACACCAGCTGAACTAGGCCTTGGGATATACTCAGATGACCATCTCCCCACAACACTGTGCCAAACATAAAGTTGGAGACCTTTGCTGCCAGCCCGGCCAACTGGCCAGCAGACCTCAGGCTGAGGCATGACCGCGTACTCAGGCTTTCTCATGTAGCCCTGATGTTCATTCTGAGAGAGGTGGGCAACAAATGAAGTCAGTCACTCCCAGCTTCTCTCTCCCCATCAAAACAAAAGATTCCTAGCTTGATGACCTCAGAGGGCTTGTACAAAAATGATGTGGAGGACCATAACATACGGAAGGACTCTCTTGAATCATAGGAGTCCCTTTTCTGGGAGGGAGGACCCCGAGAGAAAATGCTGGATGTGAACTCAGCCTTCAAAGAGATTGGCTGTGGACGGTGGCCCACATTACAGGTTGGATGGAAGCCTCCCTTGTTTCAGGGCCTTGCCAGGTGCCAGGAAGGTGTGACAGGATCTGCAAGGAAGCCATCTGCTGGTACACACTGCTTCCCTGGCACAAAATAAAACCTAGAGCAGAGTTTGAGAAGTGAAACCTGAGTTGGAGGAGGAGTCTGGAAAGCTCAGGGAGAAAGGATGGTTAAGGAGGGGGGTCCAAGGGCGGGACAAGTGTGCCCTGAGAGGAAGTGGAGGGGAAGGAGGGGGCAGGTTTCAGGGGTGACTCTTGAGGGGTGACAAGTGTGATCTGCAGCAGAGTGTGAGTTACGAGTGGGCTGTGGTTCTCTGCTTCCTCTTCCTCTCTCTCTGACTCTTTCTGTGTGTCTGTCATTCTCTGACTCTGACTCTCTCTGACTCTGACTCTGTCTCTGTCTCTGTCTCTGTCTCTGTCTCTGTCTCTGTCTCTCTCTCTCTCTCTCACATGGCTACATGTGGATGTGGATACCTATACATAGTTATGCAGAAACCATAGAATGATGTCTCCTGGCCTTTCTCTGTGACCTTTCCCTTAAGACAGGACCTCTCCCTGAACCTGGATCCGGGTTGGTAGTCAGAAATCCCCAACAATCCTCCTGACTCTTGCCATGTCAACATGAGCACACCCACATTTTTATGTGGGTGCTGGGATTGAACTCAGGTTCTCATGCTTGTCCATCAATGACTCTTACCTACTGAGACACTTTCCTAATCCCAGAATAGTCATCTTATCACTGGGAGTCACAGGTCTGCAAAACTTTGAAAGTGACAAGACACAAAGATGCCCAAGAGATCCCCGTGTTTACTGGGGTGACACAATGGACTCCTGT